CCAACCGAGACAGGTGTCACCTCAAATATCTTGCTATACTCTATACTCATAGTGTAGTTTTATGTATTATGCTATATACTCATGAAATTGTACAGGCAATTTAAATTTTAAAAAGCCAAAAAACCTATGTTGACTCATATAACTTTTATCAAGAAAATAACTCTTATTTTCAGGGGCTGTAGCCTGAACTTTTGGTGGAACACAGTCTGAATTTTTTTAAGTTCAACTCTGTTCTATGAGCAGGGAAAAGTTCCAAGAACATGGCATCATATGGCCCCAGGTTTGGTTTCCTTAGAAGTATGTCACTAGGTTGTTTTTGGCATTTTAAAATTGCTGTTAATTGCCATTAAGTTAACTTCAAGTTATGGTGATCCTGTGAATGGGAAACCCCCAAGTCACCCTATCCCCAACAGCTCTGCTAGGTCTTGCAGACTTGGGGCCATAATTTACTTGAATTTATTAATATCAAACAAGGTCTTCCTCTTTTTCCTACTGCCTTCTACCATGTCAAACATTATTGTCTTTTCTATCTTCTCTTGATTTAAGACAATATCACCTCAGCCATCTTGATTTCTAGTGAGAACTCGGGCCTGATTTACTTTAGGACTTGTTTGTCTTTTCAGTAATCCAAGGTATCCATAGAAAACCTCTCTAGCACCACATTTCAAGTGAGTTGATTTTATTCCCATTAGCTTTCTTCACCATTTAGCTTTCATAAACTTGTATTTTTAAATATTTTTAAAAATGAATGTTAGCACATGCAAAGGCATCGCTTAACAGTCCAAGACTCAGCGAAAATGTACTACTCCCACACCACTTCTCTAAGGAAACAGCTGTTACTTCAGAATAGTGTTAATTGGTTGTTGTTGTTACAGCAGCAAATCTATCACAGGGTTTTCTTGGCAGATTTTTTTCAGAGGAGGTTTGCCATTCCCTTCCTCTGAGAATGAGTGTGACTTGCCCAAGATCACCTATGGCTGAGCAGGGATCTGAACTCTCCCAGTGTCGTAATCACTCACATGACTACCCCTCTCTGGCTCACTATTAGTTTACACAGGCCAAGTGCTGTTTTCTCTCTCTCCCTGCCCCTGCCTCCTTTTCTTTAGGCCCTTCCACACAGCCATATAACCCAAAATATTAAGACAGAAAATCCAACAATATCTGCTCTGAACTGGGTTATCAGAGTCCACACTGCCATATATTCCAGTTCAAAGCAGAAAATGTGGGATTTTATTCAGCTGTGTGGAAGGGGCCTTTGTCTATTAAGGCACAGGCCCTTTCTTCCCTCTTCCTAGCTGGAAGGGGAACTGTGCATGAGTCATCTTCTCCACCCCTCACTTAATCTTCTTTCTGAATAGTATGGGCCATCGACACTCTTTTATTGGGCTCAAAGCCAACTTTAAAACCTCTGGCACAGACACTGAGAACTGGGAAGCCCTGGCCTTTGAGCACTCCAGCTGGAGGTCAGCTGTGACCAGCAGTGCTGTACAATTTGAAGAGGCACGAATGGAGGGCAAAAGAGAGAAACGTGCTAAGAGGAAGGCGTGTCAAGCCAACCCCGAATGGGACCGCCTTCCACCTGGAAACCAATGCCCTCATTGCTAGAGAACATGCAGATCAAGAATAGGGCTCCACAGTCACCTACGGACTCATAGCCAGTACACCGATCTTGCAAGACAATCCTACTCATACAACGAGGGATTGCCTAAGTAAGTAAGTTTTTTAGCAGCATTGCCACAGGCAGGCCAGAATTACACCCATACTTATATAGCCATAGAAATCTGATTGGAAGTTTGCTAAAATTCCTTACAACCACATTCATGTTTTTGGTTTACTCACAGGTCAGCAGGCACAGAATTTGCTCCTTGTAAATATATATAGATTAGAAGCTAGGTCTGCGTGGATATTTTAAAATCATGTAACACTACAGCCCATGGAGACAGAGCAATGAAGTCAATTTGTGTAGCAGGGCATGTGGATATGGGCCTGAAAACAAGTAGCAGAGCTTTAATTTTAACAGGCAGCACCAAGGCTAGAGGTAGCAAAAGAAAGACTTGGTAACACGAAATGTGACATATATAAATAATGACAACAAAGAAGTCTGTCTTTTTGTTGTTGTTGTGGGCTGCAGTTCACTTACTCAGATGTATGAGGTATCACCTCAATTGGCATGTAGCTGTACATATACTCCTTCTGGTGGTTGTTATTGCAAATGGGGTCAAAAGGAACTACAGCAGAGTCTCACTTATCCAACCTTCACTCATCCAATATTCTGTATTATCCAATGCAGTTTGCCTCCCGCCAAGATCCACAGCTGTTTCAATACATTGCGATGTTTGGGTACTAAATTCGTAAATATGGTAATTACTACATAATGTTACCATGCATTGAACTGCTTTTTCTTTCAATTTGTTGTAAAATATGTTTTGATGCTTAATTTGTAAAATCATAACACAATTTGACGTTTAATAGACTTTTCCTATTTTTTAAGGCACAGTCAAATTTTTGATTGTGAATTAAAAGATTTAGCTCTGTCGCCTCCTGTGCCTTGAATACTATGCTCCACTACCCAAGCATGCCATGGCAATTTGCCAGTGAGGGTAATGTTTCCTTGGTTACTACTTCCTTTCAAGTTGACTTTAATGCAGGCCTCCTCAAAACTGCAGATCTCCAGCTGCTTGAGTTTCCTACTCCCAGAATTCCTGACCATTAAACAAACTGGTTAGGGCTTCGGGGAGCTGGGAGATCCAAACAGCCAGAAGGTTGCAGTTTTGAAGCATGCTTGAATGTATATAAGAGATCTCCAGCCATCAATTGTGCTGCTCCTGCCTTGCAAAGGCCACATCCTTGCTTCCTTGATTGAATCAACAGCCCTTAACATGATTGGGTCTTTGCCATAAGGTCCTGTGTTGTATTTTACGTTATGTTATTATATTGTATCTGCATCAAATAGTTGCCTGTTGGAAGCCATCCTGAGCCCCTTTTTGGAGCTTGAGAAGGACGGGGTATAAATGTTCTAAATAAATAAATAGTCTGCCATGGTGGTTCTCAAATAATATGCTGTGTCCAGGTTGGTCCATCAGGTGCTCTGCTATGGCTGACTTTGCTGGTCGAAGTAGCCTGCAGTGCCTTTCGTGTTCATTGATTCGTGTTTGGGTGCTTTTCCTCTGCTGAAAAACCTTCTTCTGGAGCTTGTCTGAGGGAAAAGGGGGGTTGCTGGGTTGTTGTAGTTTTTTGGGCTGAATGGCCATGTTCTAGAAGCATTCTCTCCTGACGTTTCACCTGCATCTATGGCAGGCACCCTCAGAGGTTGTGAAGTCTGTTGGAATTAGGAAAATTGGGTTTATGTTGTTGTTTGTTTGTTCAGTCGCTTCCGACTCTTTGTGACCTCATGGACCAGTCCACACCAAAGCTCCCTGTCGGCCGTCACCACCCCCAGCTCCTTCAAAGTCAAGTCAGTCACTTCAAGGATACCATCCATTCATCTTGCCTTGCTGCAATGCAACCTGAGCCCTGCCACATGCACCATGGAGGACCTTCTTGCAGCAACACCAGAAGCACTCCAAGTGGCCAGATACTGGTCAAAGGACATTTAACCAACTACCAAACTCACAAGTTTTGTATTTTATCTGTTTGTTTGCTTTGTTCTGTTAGAAATGTAATATAATTGACTGGTTGATCTGACACGACAAATAAATAAATACATAAAATCTTGCCCTTGGCCCCTCTTCCTTTTTCCTTCCATCTTCCCCAGCATAATTGTCTTTTCTAAGCTTTCCTGTCTTTTCATGATGTGGCCAAAATACTTCATCTTGACCTCTAATATCCTTCCCTGTGGAAACTAGGTGTGAATGTCTCAGTTGGCCACCTTGATTGCCATTTGATGGCCTGACCGTTTTTAGGTATGCCTTGTTCCTGCCTGGGGGGATCCTTTGTTGAGAGGTGGTTAGCTGTTCCTGGCTGATTCTTGACTGGATTTCCCCTGTGTTGGAGTTTTGTTCTTTATTTGCTGTTAAAATTTTAGAGTTTTTTAAAATACTGGTAGCCTTGGCATGGATGGTCTGACAGTTTTTAGGTGTGCCTTGTTCCTGCCTGGGGGGATCCTTTGTTGAGAGGTGGTTAGCTGTTCCTGATTGATTCTTGAGTGGATTTCCCCTGTGTTGGAATTTTGTTCCTTATTTGCTGTTAAAATTGTAGTTTTTTTTCAATACTGGTAACCTTGGCATGGATGGCGAAGGCCTTGTTTATAATAACAACCATAAACAATAATAAAACCATTTTGCTCCCTCCCTCTTCCATCCCCTCCCCCTTTAAGGCCTACTTCAGCCTGACCCAAGTTGGGGGAAAGTGGTGGTGGTGACGGGGGAGGGTTGAGGCGAGACCCTCCCTCTTCCATCCCCTCCCCCTTTAAGGCCTACTTCAGTCAAGTTGAGGGAAAGTGGTGGTGGTAGGGAAGGGGGAGGGTTGAGGGGAGAGAGTGGGAGGGGGCGGGGCAAGGCAGGGCGCGTCACGTGGCGTCGGCGAGAAGGTGGGCGGGGCCTTCCCCTCAGAGCCTCTCTTTCTCGCTATCCCAACGAAGAGGAGAAAAAAGGGGGCGTGGCCGCTCGCTCAGCGCGTGGTGAGTGCTGGAATGCGCGCGGCCGCCGCTGCCGTTGTCCTGAGGAGACTCGCCGCCTTGTTGGCTCCCCCCACCCCTCACCTCACGACTGGAGCGCGAGGCGGAGAAGGTGCGTAGCTAGCGCGCCTCGAGGGCGACGCCGACGACGTGCTGCGTGTGTGGACGAAGAGGAGGAAGGAGGGGGAAGGGAGGGAGGGAGCGCGCGCGCGCTTGTGGCGCTGTCCAGGGCTGATCTGGAGGCGGCGGAGGGGGCGGAGTTGAGGGGGAAGAAGGAGAAGGAGAAGAAGCAGCAGCGAGGCGTTGAGGCCTCTCAGGAAGAAGAAGAAGGTGGAGGAGGAGGAGGCGACGACGACGGGGAGGCCGTGAGTGGCGCCCCTTCCCTCCCACCCTCTCTCTTCACCCCTCCCTCTGCCTCTCCCCTCAGCCGCGTCGAGGGAAGGCAGGAAGTTTGCTGGGGAGGAGCCGCCTTCCTCGCCGTCTCCCGGCCTGGGAGGGGCCCAGGCGAGGCAGGCAGGCAGGCAAGCAGGCCGCAACCGCCCTGTTGGAGCTGGACAGCGATTCCTCCCTTTCCCCCCGGCAGCCAGTGAGTGAGTGGGTGACTGACTGACTGACTGACTGAGCGCAGGGTGGGTGACCTTCCTCTTCTCTCTCCTTCTGTGTGGGTCGCCTAGGCCTGGGCCCACTTTTCCTCTCCCCCCCCCCACTCCGCGCGCCACTGCTCCTTTCTCTCCCCCTCTCAGAGTTTGGGGAGTTTCCTCTGAGAGAAAAGACTCGAGTGGATGGATGGGGAGGGGGGAGGGAAGGAGTAAGGAAGAGTGGGGAGAGATTGCCCCCCTCCCCACTTTTTTGAGGGGGGGTGGTGGTAGTGTTGTGTGGATCCCCGCGAGGGAAAAGTTTGTGAGGAGTGGGGAAGACGATGAGGCCGAAGCACAGGCAGCCAGAGTTGCTGCAAAGAGCCGCTTTGTGCTTCTGCTTGGTATTTCAGAAAATGGCCGAATGCCTATTTCTGGAATGCAGCAGCAGCCGCCGATAGTGGTAGACCTCCATTTCCCAAACGAGTTTTCTTTTCTTTTTTTCTTCTTCTTCTTCCCAAATTGCAAACTCTCTGGCCTTCGCCTGCACTTCCTTTGCTTGCCCAAGCAGGAAAGAAGAACTTTGTCGTGGTGTGCATTCGCTCAAATGGAGTTATGCAAATAATCCTGGAGATCTTTACTTTGATTTTTTTGTAGGAAAGGGACGTCCTTTGGCCTTGGGAAACTTTGAAACTTTTAAAACGCAGCTAGGGCCCTTCCACACAGCCATATAAACCAGAATATCAAGCAGAAAATCCCACACTATAATCTTTGAACTGGAATATATGGCAGCGTGGACTCAGCGCCCTTCCACATAGCCATATAAACCAAAATATCAAGGCGGAATATCCTACAATATGTGTTTTGAACTGGAATATATGGCAGCGTGGACTCAGGCCCTTCCACACAGCCATATAACTCAGAATATCAAGGCAGAAAATCCCACAATATCTGCTTTGAACTGGAATATATGGCAGCGTGGACTCAGGGCCCTTCCTCACAGCCATATAGACCAAAATATCAAGGCAGAAAATCCTACAACATCTGCTTTGAACTGGAATATATGGCAGTGTGGACTCAGGGCCCATCCACACAGTCATATAAACCAAAATATCAAGGCAGAAAATCCCACAATATCTGCTTTGAACTGGTATATATTGCAGCGTGCACTCAGGGCCCTTCCTCACAGCCATATAACCCAGAATATCAAGGCAGAAAATCCCACAATATCTGCTTTGAACTGGGTTATCACAGTCCACATTGCCATATATTCCAGTTCAAAGTAGATAATGTGGGATTTTATTCAGCTGTGTGGAAGGGCCCCTAGTTTTCTTGGCTTTTTGGCAGAGTGATGACTTCAGAGTGGTGTATGTAGGTCATTGAGCTCATTTGCGTTTAGGCCCAAAGGAAACCAGGATATTATTTAAGCGCCCCCCCCTTCCCACGTGGTTAGTCTGCTAATTTCAAGGCCAGATAAACCTATCCAATATATTTAGCTTGCTGCATGAATGAGTGTGTGTTCATTTGGATTTTATTCAGCACCTTAGCAAGGAAAGTAATTCCTCCGCCCTCTAAAATTTGGAAAATGAATCCTTGACCACACAGTGATGTATAGGTATTTTGTTGTGAATTCCTGCAGGACAGAGAGTTTTGAGACTATGATCCCTTCCACACAGCTGAATAAAATCCCACATTTTCTTTTTTGAACTGAAGTATATAGCAGTGTGGACTCGGTTAACCCAGTTCAAAGCAGATATTGTGGGATTTTCTGCCTTGATACTCTGGGTTATATGGATTTTCTGCCTTGATACTCCCCATATAAACATGTCATAGGACCCTTCCACACAGTCATAACCCAGAATACCAAGGCAGATAATCCACAATGTCTGCTTTGAACTGGGTTATCTGAGTCCACACTGCCGTACATTCCAGATCAAAGCAGATAATGTGGGATGTATACAGCTGTGTGGAAGGGGCCTGCGAGAGTTTCAATAGCTTCAATGAACAGAATGCCTGTTTACATATTAATCACCCCCGGGCAGCTTCAGGGCTCAATATTTAGCTTGTACAGTGTAGAAACTACCCAGAATAAGAAAAGAGCTATCCATGTGGACAGTCTTAAGAAGATCTGACCTTTGAAATGTTATTTGTTGTGAGTGAATTGTTAATTGGTGTAACAGGATTAGTTCCCAAAACACTGGATAGTGCACCCCAAACATATTTCATGCATAAAATGGATTTGGCTATTCCCTTTATTTCCCGTTTACAAGTTGAATACTGGTTTTAACTAGACCTTTTGTTCTGATACTATAGAACGGGAGTAGTGCACTTAAATTAATGGAGCGTCGTAGGAGTCTAGCCCCTACTATCAGCTCCCAAGAATGTGTGCCCAAGATTACTTACACAGACTTTGTAGTTTTTGATGCACTTTCAGATATTTTCACATGAGCCATGTGAGGCAGATAGTGGTAGGAGGATATCCCCCAACCAAAATAATGTATGTTCATGAAATGAGAATTTTAATCCACCATAATATTTTGGATGTTAAATTCAGGGAATGATTTGTAGGACTTGTAGTTGATTTGCTTTTTAGAGTCAGTATGCTTTATGAGAATTGGGAATTTATTTTTTATTTATTACATGTATTTGAGGTTGGATATGCAGAGACTGCTCCATTAACACCAGAAAATTCTTTTTCTGTGACATTCTCTGTTAAATCCTATGTGTGTACATACTTAAACATTTAGCCGTACTCTGACCTCTCCTCAGTTGCAACGTTATGAATCTCTCTCTTTCATCCTCCCAACACAGAGCCCTTTCACACAGTACTATATCCCAGAATATCAAGGCAGAAAATCCCACAAAATCTGCTTTGAACTGGCTTATCTGAGTCCACACTCAGATAATGTGGGATTTCCTGCCTTGATATTCTGGGATATAGGGCTGTGTGGAAGGGCCCACAGTGAAACTCTTTCTGCATATGGTAATAAGAAGCCCCTCCCCATTCTTAGTTTGGTAGCGATTCACTGTGCTGAACTTCTAGCAAGTACTAACAGTGCCAAGTGGTGCTCTTTGGCCTAGAAGTGTTGGTGTTGAGGAACCAAATGTGTTGATCAGACAAAGAATAGAAACACCTATAGTCTTACCTAGCACTCATTGTTTGCTCCCTCTCAGTATTTACTGCTGAAAAGTTGGGCCACTTTTTCAGTAGAGCCCKCCCCCCCCCCCCCAAGGATCAGACAAAGCAGCCAACCATTGTGCTGAATTCTTAGATGTGTACTGGTACATTTCTCCCCTTGTGTTGTCCTGTCCTGTAAAAGGTTGCATAAAAACTCTGTTGAACTATTGTTTATATGGAAGCACAACTAAAATGTGTCATCCTTTGACTTTGACTTTACACAATGACTATATATTTATATATATTCCACACAGCTGAATAAAATCCCACATTTTCTATTTTTATTTCATTTATTTCAAACATTTGTACCCCACCCTTCTCAACACCTTTGGGGGGGGCACTTTGAACTGGAATATATAACAGTGTGGACTCAGATAACCCAGTTCAAAGCAGATATTGTGGGATTTTCTGCCTTAATATTCTGGGTTATATGGCTGTGTGGGAGGGCCCTAAGACTGATTTTAACAAGGATTTTATAAATCTTGTTAGACAATCAATATTAAAGCCTTAATTTTCAGCAGTACTGATAACTTCCGTACAGTTAATGTTTATTTAAAAACAACATTATTTATTTTTTATATTCCCCTTTTCTCTCTTAAAAGAGACTCAAAGTGCCTAATTAAATTCCAAATAAATTATAACCAGTTAATTATGATGAACAGCATTATATAATTATAAAATGTAAGCAAACACAATTGTGCAGTTCTCTTAGACCTCTGTCCCAGAATCCCAAGTAAGAGTCAAACAACAGGAAAACTTGAAAAGATTTATCTTCCTCTAAAATGCATTAATGTCTATTAACGCTTATTCTTGAATGGGTAGGTGTGCAGGCTTAGAGAGAAAGGAGCTATCAGCTTATCAAAATATTGATTAAAACTTGTACTGTGAAATATTATCAAATAAATTGACCACAGTGTCATAATAATGCTGTCATAATAATTATTTGCAGATAATTATTATGACAGCATTTGTCATTGGCTTGAACCTCTTGAGTCTACATCAGCTAGTATAACATGGTTTATATTTTGGCAAATAACTGACTGAAAACTGTGGTTTGAAAGTGGTTTACCAGTCCTGGTTTCTTTTAAATGTGATTTCTCATTATATCTTGTACTAAGGTTCTGCCATGTTCTTGGTATATTTCTGCACTCAAGTCTTTCTTATCATGTCCTCAAGCTAAACTTCTTTCACTTACTTCTCACTCATCTTGCAACAAGCATCCTTCTCTATCCAATTCCATGAGCTCAAGGCAGAGCTAAAAATCTGCTCTCTAAATGTTAAACTACATTTTTGCTATGACACAACAGTTTTTAACAGAAATTATCTTTGCACAAACACGAAACACAACCCCCCCCCCCCACACACACACACAGTGCAGTTTAAAAACAGGTATACTGGTTTGGATTACAATTATTATGCTTAATAAAAGTTCATCCTAATCAGAAAATAATTACATATTCAATTTACTCATTTTTAAAAATGTTAATAGAACTACGAAGTGCTGAACAGTGAAGTATACATATACAATAAGGAACTGCATTAGTTTTGCTAATTGGTGGTCAAAACAACCAGCAAGAACAATAATAGTCAGTCTTATGAAAACAATATTATTTTTGCTTCTCTATAGACATGGCAATGGTGGTTTGAGCATTGGACTATGACTCTGGAGATTTGGGTTCAGATATCTGGTCAGCCATTAAACCCGCTGAATAATCTTGGGCAGGTCTCAGAGAAAGATAGTGGCAAACCTCTGAACAAATCTTGCTATATGTTGGAAACAACTTGAATGCACACAATAAAGTCCTCCATAGTGTCCATTGCAGTATAAAGTACTGATACCTTTAAAAAGAACCCGAGAAAGGAAAACCAATACCTTCAATTAAAAATGAACTGACACAATATAGTAGTTTTTAAGCTATTTGAAATGAGGGAACTAGCTTTTTCCCTTCTAATGTGCCAAGGACCAGTATTGTTTTTGTGCCCCTTGGCTGCAACTGTTCATTCCCTGAAAACCTGCTGTAGACTGGCAGCTGATGGTTTCCTCACCACTTTGAATAGCACTGATGAAGTCTTTCAGCAATGTCTACCTACTTGTACACTTCTTAGAAATAACACCATGTAACACATTTTTTGTTCCTGGGTTATAGATGTCATTTCCTAATGGTTTATCATAAAAAGATGGAAAAAGTTTATTAAACTGTAAAAACTGTTTTTGCAGGACATTCTGCATCATCACATTTTGCTGTAGTTTTTCAATGAATATCTTGAGTCTCAACCAATTAAACATAGTTTGTGGCAGCCACAAAAATGAAGTTTCTAGAGTATAACAACTACTTTCAAAGTACATACATAAACAGAAAATACCACTTTCAAATCAGGAACAGATTTTTTTTCCAAATTTTGTTACATAGTGTAATTTGGGGAGAATTAATCTACACAAAATCTTATTTAAAACATTTTATTCAATCTTATGAAGGGAAATATTCCATATCCTTTTAAACTTGGTTTTCTTTCTGGGCTTACTCATATTTTTGTATAAACATGCAGGAAAACCTCACAAACAACTCCCAATACAGAAAGAAAACACAAGCTCTACAAACACATATGTATAGGGATGATTGAAAACAAAGTAAAACAAAACAAAAAAAACCCCACATGGAGCACAAGCACCACAAAATACAATCTACAAAACACAGGGAATTTACAAGCAGTTATTTTAAAAGTTCATTAATTCATTTAATTTATATCCCTGTCTTTGAATTTTAATCTTGATTACTTGGTCTTTGTTGTGTGAAGTGTTTTAATTTTTTGATACTATAGCATGGATTTTGTAGACATGCAACTTATGAAAAAAAATCTTTTTATTTTACAGAATAGTTATGGCAATGCAAGTCCTGGGACAGTCTGGTGGCAGCAGCCTGTTTTCTGGCAATACTAACCTCAACATGACTTTGTCAAACGACATGTATGACTTTTCTGAACTTTCCAAAGCTGAGCTGGCAGCTCCTCAGCTCATTATGTTGGCAAATGTAGCCTTAACAGGAGAAGTTAGTGGCAACTGCTGCGAATACATGGTTGATGAAGAGAGGCAAATGGCTGAACTGACAACTGTAGGCAATGCCAATTTTTCAGATAGTGATGGAGAAGGAGCAGAGGATGCACATGCCGCGGAGCGTGATCATGAAGACCTGGGTGATATAGAAGTGAGAACTCTTGGATCACCGGATGTTCGTAGCCTTGAAACTGAAGAAGCAACTGAGTCTTCTCGTTCTCTTAAGTGTAGCCTAGATAAGGATTTTCCAATGGCAGGGTCCCCTGAAGACTTCCAATTGTCAGGTGACCCAGATGATTTCCAGTTATCAGATGCTCCTCAAGGTTTTCGGTTGTCAGGTGACCCAGAAGATTTTGATTTTTCAGAGATCCCAGAGGGCTTCCAGTTGTCAAATTCCTCAGAGAGTGTAGATGATAGAGGTAAAAGCTTGAAGAACAAACCGTTTCGTTGTAAGCCCTGTCAGTATGAGGCAGAATCAGAGCAAGAGTTTGTCCATCACATTCGGGTGCACAGTGCTAAGAGATTCATAGTAGAAGAAAAAGCTGAGAAGCATGGCGAAGTTGACTCCAGCAGCACTACAGATGAAGTTGATTTCTCCAAGGGGCCTATAAGGTGTGATCGCTGTGGCTACAACACTAATAGATATGATCACTATCTGGCTCACTTGAAGCATCACAATAAAGCTGGAGAAAATGAAAAGGTCTACAAATGTACAATTTGCACATACACAACAATAAGTGAATACCATTGGAAGAAGCACCTAAGGAACCATTTTCCACGAAAAGTGTACACATGTTTACAGTGCTCCTACTTCTCGGATCGGAAGAATAACTATGTTCAACATATTCGAACTCATACAGGTGAGTGATGCCTTTCTATTTCCTAAGGCTAATTGTAATAAATGTTGGTGTTATAGCTTGTGCAGTAAGGGTAGAACCTTTAATGATTTTAAATATGCTGATTGTGTGTGTGTACTTACCCTTTTGTGTTGGCAGCATGCTAGAGGATAAAATAATAAACCTTAACTAAATTGATTCGATTTGCAGTATCTGCTCTATCATGAAAATATTGATTTTTCTTATGACATTAGCAGCTCATTTTTTTAAAGAAAGAAACCTGGTTTTGTTACTGAAGGAATAAAAAACTTGAATGAACCCCTAATTAGAGAACCACTTGTTCATTTTACTGCATGCTGTTTGTTGACTTGCTTGGTTAGTGGAAACTGGTGGGTGTACAAAAGGAAAGTTAAGCAATCAACTTCATTACAATCATTTTCTGGTGCACCGATTTAATGGATTTTTTTGGAATTCCATTGTACCTATAGAACTTCGATTCAGCAGCACATTTTGAATAAGTTGATTTTTTTTCTCCTTTTGGATTCCTTTACTGTCACATCCATACACATGAATTTGAATGACTGTGGCATGGATGATCCTGACTTTGGTGTTCAATGTTGTGTCTTTAGTCTAATCCTTTCACATTTGTCAATTCTAACCTTAGCTTTCTTCTCTGTAGTCTTCATTTTGATCGAATGAACTGAGGTAAACAAAATGTTGGTGCTTTTATCACCCACTTTAAAGTTACATAGCTCTTCTGTGGCCATTATTTTTGTTTTCTTAACATTCAGTAGTACCTCTGCTTTTGCACTTTATTCATTTATGCAATGTAAAATATTGATTAGGATGTAACATTGTACAATGTGATAACGAATGTTGGTAACAATTCAAGTTAACAATATGATAAGAAACGAAATTTATCTTTGTAGTTTGGTTCCTCACTGTTATCTTTTCCCCCCCTTGTGCTGGCCGATCTACTAACTGAAGAAGTAAGTCATTACAGCAAAATAATTGTTCGAAGCAGTTTGCATGCTATTCAGAATGAGCCTTCAGTAATAAGAGGAAAAAAACGAACCCCATTGCCATAGCATGGTAGTTAGGATCTTTGCTTCTGTAACAAAACTGATAGTTTACTGGCCAAACTACCTTTGTTGTTAAGCCCCTTATCTCCTCATAGTTTTGGGCCACAGCACTCTTAATTTGCATGGTTTAAAAAAAACATATTAACGTGAATTGATGCTGTGTATCTTTCCCCCAGCAGATGACAACTGCATTAGCTATTTTGGGAAAAATCATGTACATAAGGCCAAGTCATGTGCTTTATGATAGTTTCGGTTTTTGTCAAAATGAATGTTAATTAAAAACCTTTTCAAGTAGTCAAGGTGAGATTATTTTTGCCCCACCTCCAACAATATAGCAAACATGTCTAGGAATGCTAACTGATTAATACTAAAAGCTGTTATTTTGAACCACAATAGCACAGAAAATAGGAGGACAAAAATTATTGAAGTAATTTGAAAGCTATTTGTGATTTTACCAACAGTTAAAAAGTTTAAATTTGTAATTTAAGTAGAAAATGCAAATTTCAAATGGCTTTAATACATGTTTCTCCCAGTTGTTGGGTTTTCGCATAGAAAACATGCTTGTTGTAATTGTATATGGCTTTAAGTAGTGCTGAAACCTATTTTGGATATTGAAGTATGTAGGATTTCTTATTTTCTGAAAAATATGGTACATTCCTGCCTTGATTAGTAAAGGCAATTGGAATTGAACTAATAATGTCACTCTCAAGCACTAGTATTACCATTCCTTCTTCCAATCCTACCTTTAATCCAGGACTTAAGGCAACACACATTCTGATTAAAAACAGTGTTACAAATATTAAACTAATAATGTTTAAGCATTTGCTATACTACAAAGAATTTAAAAGACTATCAGAACCACAGTCTTTCTTAAAAGCTCCCCCTTTCAACCCTCTCTCAAATACAAAAGGTCATTGGGTGTCAACAGAGGAACATGGGAAAATAGTATTTTAATCCCAAACACCATATTTACTCTCTAGTTCCATTGAAATAAACAGGGTTTATATAGCTGTATAAGCGGGTCCTTTCTTACAGATGAAGTGTCACCCATGTACTCTTATCACATATATGACACAATTACTTTTGATTTTTAGTTTTCTCTATTTTGTGGTAGGTTCTGGCATTTAGAACATATTTGTTGTCACGAAGACCCAGCTGATTTGATACTTGCAGCATGACTAACTTGGGCCCTTTCCACACAGCCATATAACCCAGATATCAAGGCAGATAATCCACAATATTTGCTTTGAACTGGGTTATCTCAGTCCACAGTGCTATATAATCCACTTCAATGTGGGTTTTATACAACTGTGTGGAAGGGTCCTTAGTGGCTAAAACTAGACATACAAACACTGGTATGATGTATTTGTCAAGGTCAGTTTAATATTGCCATGAACTTTCCCATCCCTATGCCTTTCTTTATCTGGCTTGCCCTAGTGGTTGCACAGTGACCGCCATTTGTGCGGCTTAAAAACCAAGAGAATAAAGTCTAGAGTTAGGTAGATGAATGACTCTAGAGCAAGAAAGGAAAGTGTTGGATGTAGTGGACTGAAGATGTTTGGAGCTCCTTTAAATAGCAGTCTTCAAGTTGTCATGTCCCTAAGAAAGACTATCTGGAGAGGAGGAAGAGTTGGGGTGTTGACAAATATAGTTTTAGTTTGGCCATTCAATCATTTATTTATATATTTACGACATTTATATTCCGCCCTTTTCACCCCAAAGGGGACGCAGAATAGCTTAGACAAAATTATTATATTGTATTATTAGTAGTATTACATTGTATTACATTATATTATCAATATTATATGTGTATACAATATTTTATAATATTAGCACAGCACAATATTAGTATTATATATTACTATATTGTTGCTGGGGGGAGGGGCTCCCAACTGATGGCCCAGGAGACATGGTCTAGAACATGCTCTTCATTCTGGCTCCAGAGTGTCAGTTGGTGCTGGGGGGAGGGGCTTCCAACCGATGACCCAGGAGACATGGGAGAGTCCTGTTTTAAACCTGAACACATGCCCCTAAGCCCTCTCAAATAGTTTGAAGCTTGGAGGAAGAGTTGTAGTTCTTCGTGTTTTTGCTGCAGTTTGGAAGCTGTGAGAGATCTTCTTTCATACTTTCACTTGCATCACACCAGAAATCGTGCATGTAGGAGACTACTTGGTATTTTAGTCAGGAATTAAGAGGATTGATTTGTGGGCACTCGTCTAAGAATGTGAGGCAGGAAATCCTTGAATATAACACCCAGCCATGTGTTTACTAAACAGCTTTAAGCAGCCCACTGTTTCTTGCCACTAGTTTATTTCTCCCCCATTTTACAATATGGGAAATAATGTCACCCCTCTGCTTGCATGGTTGTTGTAAGATTTACATATATAATGGAAATGAATAACTTGGAATAACTTATTTTATAAATTCAGCCAGTTTTCTTTAAAAAAATACTTCACAATGATAATTTTTTCTGATGCTGAATAATTTGAACAGTTTTCGTTTTATTTTTAGGACTGTCACCCATTGCAGAGCATATTTTTTTATTAAAAACTCATAGCTAACTTAAGTCCTATTACCCCAAAGCTGATTAAGTATGTATTCTGTGAAATAATCAGGTCTAACTGGCAACATTTACATTTGAAGGGCATGAGGGTTAGTTTTTAAGTGAAAAAGATGAGGTTTTAAAAGGATAATTTGTATTTGAAGTATCACTAGATTTAGTAGACTGCATGAGGAAGAAATTTGCATACAATTCTGAACCCAGGTGTGATGTTTATTTGACTTTTCTTTAATAAACCTGTCTTACTTAGTTATTTGTTTGGTTTTTATGAGCAAAGTAAAAAGGCTTAAATGCTGTTTCTGTTTCTCAGGAGAACGCCCCTATCGGTGTACTATGTGTCCTTATTCAAGTTCTCAGAAGACTCACTTAACCAGGCATATGCGGACTCACTCAGGTTGGTAAAAGGGCATTTCGAGAACATTATGGTGGTCAGGATAGGTTGTATTTTTTAATATGCTGTGCAGTGGTTGGCAGTAGTAGTATACTGTCTGAAGGCCTCATGCAGCCTCTGAAAGTTTCTCCACCTTGAGTGGTTGAGTGGTAGTAGTATTTTGAGGATAAGCGAAGTTTCCTTTTCTCGTTTTTTCAATATATTTCTGTTTTGGGGAAGTATCAAACACTGAAACTACTATGTGTGTGGTGGGAAGGATACTCATATGTTCCACACCTATACAATATCTTTGTTGTGGGTATTATTCTCAGAAATGGTTGGCATAAAATTTGTTAAAATATACCTTGACTTCTTTATGTATCTGAAAAAAGTGCTGGCCCAAATTACAGTGGTAGTTGTGTATTAATGTATGTTCCTTTTGACCCCTTCCAATTCTTAAAACAGTTTGCTAGTGCTACTGCAGATACATAAGCAATATATTTCTTTGGATTTAAAACTTTCTTTTTCCTAATCCCTTGCTTAAACCTGAGTGAGGAAAGAGTAGCTTGGGACAAACAGCTGGGGGAGGGGGGGGGGGAGAAGCAGTTTCTTAAAGGAACCCACAGCAGGAGTCCTGTGCATGATCATTTACGGTCCCTGGCCTATGTATTGAATCAAGACAGTTAAAACTTCTGTTACATTGTGTAGTGTGAGGTTATTCTGCTAGGTATAACAGTGCCAATGGCTGATGTGTTAAACAAACTAATCTTTTCCCCACCCAATAGTGATAAGCAAAAATCTTGAAACAAAATTCAAAAATTTTAAACTTTTATCTTACTGTTTTACTTCCCTCTGAAGTTGTTTCCTCCTGAGCAATGCATGTTTCTATGACCAGGAGCTCTCAACTCTGTATTTAGCAGCAGCGGTAGCTGGAGGCTGCTATCTACATGTGGCAGTGAATCTATTCTGTTAGTTCTAGTCTGAACTTTAAACAAACTATCTATGGTACTCAGTGTTACCCTCCCCTCATGAGACTCAATATCTTGGATAGTTCACTTAAAGCACAACATTGAACCAGAACAGATTAATTATCGCATTGTTAGGGAGAGCCATCAGCTGCCACTGTTTGCAAGATAAAACTGGGGTCCTAAACTCGACAGGGCAAAAAGAAACTAGGTGTGCGAAAATCTGTTTCCCTCTTCATTATCTCTTTTCTCTTATCTGGCTGTGAACTGTCATGGTCTTTCTAAATGCCCTTGTCATATGGGTGGATATTAACAACATACTTTCTATTTTGGTGTTGTCTGGATTATATTGTGTACTTTTATAGCCCACCCATCTTGAAAACAGGGCAATAGAGATGTTAACCACACTTCAAAGTATAAACATATGTTAGAAATAAGTGGATCCTTCATACCAGAAGACCACTGTGCAGAATCTACACTTTCAAAAGATGTGTAGAGTTGGATTTGGAGCAAAACATCAGTGGGCAGTAATTCCATAACTGGGGGGCAGTTTACAATTTGAGTGAAACAAAAAAATTGAGGTTAAGAGAGATTATGGTTTATATAATGTTGATTAAGAAGCCTGCTGTTTAGCTTCTGCATTATTTCCACTAATAGAAGAGGTTTTTATGCAGCAGCACATAATATGGGAGGATTGTAACTGCACTTTCAATTATTTCTAAAATAATGTTATCCAAGAAACAATTGTTTTGAGGCAACAAGAAATTGGCTTCAGATATTCTATGTTTTGCACACGGAGTTAAACTTTACTGTGAGGAAATGGATGGGAAATGTGCTACATGTAACTAATATATTTTGCTTTACATGTTTTGAGTCCCTTTATTTCCAGTTTTCAGACATGAATGCCATTTTTGTGTAATCAGAGTACTACTACTCTTGTGTCCAGAGGGAGGTATTACAAGGTTTGGGATAACCAGAGTGTTTGCAGAAGTACAAAAATATTTACCAAAGAAAAATCTTAAGGTGGAGGTGGGGATCTTGAACAATCAGAGTGAAGTATGGGGTTGCTAAATCGGCATAGAATGGTGACTAAATGTTGGAGAGGGAGAACGGTATGGGATGAAGTATTTTGAAGGAGTGCATGGTTTCTATCTAGAGCAACAAACGGGAGCATTCTTTTGAAATATTTTGTTGCAGAGCCCATTGTGTTTTTAAAATGCATGAATGGATTTTCCTGCAGAACAAAATTGGGAATTATGTGGCTCGCCAGATTTTCTTGAATGGTAACAACCAGCATTCCTCACCATTGGTTGTACTGTTCAGGTCTGCTGGGACATGGAATTCAGCAATATCTGAAGGGACACACTAGTTTGTAGTGTTTAAAACCACAAATTGATGTTAATGCCCTTATTAATAAATTTAGGACCTTTCATTGTTTGACACTTATTTTTATTTGTTTTGTTTAGAATGAAAAATTAATGACTTTAATTTAGACCTAATTATTCACAAAGAGATGGTCTTACTCAAGAACTGGTATTCAGATAAAAGGAATTCATAGCATTTTTCCTTGGTTTTTTAAAATGGAAAGATATACCCTGTGGAACAATGCACAGTTTCTCATTACTGTCTAAAACTTAGTCAAAAGTCAAAAGATGGTGGTAGTTAAATAAAATATAGCAGATTAGATCTTAACCCTGTAACCCAGTTTTGGAGATCCCTCTGTATTCTTTCTGCAAGGTCCTCTGGGTTTCTTTGTAGCATTTCTAAGGAATCGACACAGATGCAGTTGGGAAGTCCCCATTCACCAGTACAGTTTTATGCACATGGATCTAATTTCTCCCATTTTGTTGATATCAACCTTAGTTTTAGACAAGAGTGGAAAGTCAAAATTCAGCAAAACATTGAGGAATCTGAATATGGGAAAACTTAGTCAGAATACATTAATTTTAATAGCAAAATATTTTCCAAATGTTGCTTGCCTAGTTCAGCATTTCAAGACACAGATTAAGTTGAACCACTGCATTAAAAATGAATATCATTGACGTTTGCATTGTTGGAGATATATTCGCCTTTTGTGTTCTGAATCTTAAAGAGTGATTAGAAACACAAACATTTTATATTGTTATCTTGAAACTGTATGTGGAGTGATGAATTAACACTGCAGAAATGTTTTAGCAATGTGGGAATGTAATCAATTTTCGGTTTATATGGTTGCAGCATAAGATTTGTATAACACAACTATTCATCTGTAATTTCCATTTTTCTACACTGCCTTCAATGGACCAGTTTGGTTTGGATTCGAATTACTAATATTACTGTTGCGTGATCTCTTCTGGTATGTATTTAACATAGATGGAATATGTGGTTTTGTGATTGCTTGCATGTTTGTTTTTGTTTCTTCTTTTTTGTATTTGTTGTCTTGTGAATGTGCCAAGTGTAAAATCATTTAATTCAAGGGAAAAAACCCAAAATAATTGTTTGCATCTGTAGCTATGCAGTATGTTAACGGGCTTCTTTCCCACTTTTTTTTTTGCCTCAGGTGAGAAACCATTTAAATGTGAACAGTGCAGCTATGTGGCGTCAAACCAGCATGAAGTGACCCGACATGCAAGGCAGGTCCATGATGGTCCGAAGCCACTGGTCTGTCCTCACTGTGAATACAAAACAGCTGATCGAAGCAACTTCAAGAAACACGTTGAGCTCCATGTCAGCCCACGACAGTTCCTTTGTCCAGTTTGTGAGTATGCTGCATCCAAGAAATGCAACTTGCAGTACCACATCAAATCCAGGCATCCTGACTGTTGTGATATCACAATGGATGTCTCAAAAGTAAGGCTACGGACTAAAAAGAATGAAGTGAACATTTCAGAAAATGTGGAACATAAAGTGGAAGAAGACCAAGCAAAGAAAGAGCTGGCTGAAAAGAAAAATGAGAGAGCTACAAAAGAGGAGAAAAAGGAAAGTCTGTCAAAAGAAGAGAAAAAGGAAAACATGTCAAAAGAAGAAAAGAAATTCAACCAACCGAAAAATGAAAAGAGAGAGAACTTACCAAAAGAAAAGAAACTTGTTTTAGAGAAAGTGACAACCCGAAGTCGCAAAACTCTTTCCAAAAATAAGGATGAAGACATGAAAACTGAGAAAATGGCGGAGAAAACTGGTAAAACGAAGAAACTGAAAAGAACAGCTGAGAATAACTCTCTTCCAGAAGACATTGTTACAGACGTTGATGATATAATTGCAAAAAAGAAAAAGAAAACAGAGAAATCTCAGAAATGTCAGGAGTCTCAAAACAATGACAATAAGTTGGAGGATGCAAAAAAAGAAGAGTCTTGTCTTAAGAAGAACAAAAGAAAGAAAGAGCTGAAGAATAAGTCTGTTAATAATAACAGCAAGCCTGCTTGTGAGAATATTGTAGGTGAGGACGCCCTCCCTATAGAGCCTCTAGAGGAAGAAAGAAAGAAATCTAATGATTCCTGCAATAGGCAGCAACCCGTTATTCCTTCAGATGTTGGGGAAAACATGCAAGATTTAGAGTCACCATCTGTACAATCTGTGGACAAAAATGTAGAGGTGGAAATGGAAGACCAAGAAATGACCATGGCAGAAGAAGACACTTCACAAACTGCTTCTGAGAATGAAATTGGAATAGAACTGACAGTCACCCCTAGGATTAGTGCTCTAAATTTGAATGCTACCTTGGAAAAAGAGACAGCTATGTTGGAGGATACATTATTAAATGTTGCCAAAAATATTCAGACAACACAAATGTGTGAAATGGAAGTGGTGACTAATCCAGCTGTGGTACAAGAGACTCAGCCAATGGAAACAGATGAGGGAGAAACTGTGAGTAGCCCACATCCAGAACATGATAGTTCCACAGAAGAATTGCAGGCTGAAGACCCAGCAGGAGGAGCGTCAACCTCGCAGTTGCCAGAAAAAAATCAGCAAAGCACTAAAACAGGCCTAGTTTCTGCAGCACCAGGAGGCACTGTAGTAAATGAAAGTCAGGAAATGGAAGAGGATGAAGGCATCCACAGTCATGATGGCAGCGATATAAGTGACAACATCTCAGAAGGCAGCGATGATTCTGGGTTAAATGGTGCCCGGACAGCCCAGGAGAAAACAAGTCAGAAGGCACCTGAAGAACATGCTGAAGTCAAGGTCACCAAGGAGAACTATGTGTGTATATTCTGTGATCGCTCATTTAAAAAAGAAAGTGAATATAGTAAACACCTGAACCGCCATTTGGTAAATGTATACTACCTTGAAAAGGCAACAAAGGGGCAAGGTTAACCAAATGGTGGCATAATGACAATTTATTCTTCCTCTGTAAAATCATATAGAGCTTAGGTACAGTTCTTGTAGAATCTTTGCTTAAGCTCAGTTTGCTTATACTTTTTAAGTTGTTGTTTCTTTTCCTTTGATGAAACGTTTCTCTAATTAACTACTTGTACCTCTTTGATTAGAGAGGGCAAGTGGGTATGTAAGTCTGTGGCTTGCTAAATTGGCTTGAGTCCCTGGGATAGAGCCCTGGAATCACTTCTATATTTCTGTTGGTTTACAACAGAGCTGTACACAAGTTAGATTGTTTAAGCGCAGTAGCCTTAGGATGCTGTCTGCTGAGTGTCTTCCGCATAAGCTCTGTAGAAATGGATTATGCAAAAGCGCTATTGTGCTCTCATAGGACTTGTGCAGAAGACAATTGATGGGGCCCACAGTAGGGGCCTGCCCACTTTTTATGCTCCCAAGGAGATGTTCCAGTCTGGAATAAGCGTCAGCCTGAAATGGGTGTCAGATATATGGGTGCCCCTGTCTTCCCCTCCAGGAGTTATTCGCATGTGATATCTTCTGATTCCATAGGTTAGACTCCTTTCCTTTGACCTTGTTTCTTATACACACTTGCCACAGAATCAGACTACTTTACTGTGATGTGATTACATGCATGCCATTGCAGGAGGTGTATCATATGGACAGGAGAACTAGGGGTAACTGCCAGCTCTGCGAGATTTGGTTCTGCCCATATGATTCTGTTATTCAGAATATATATCTGTGTGTGGACAGGATCTTTCTAAGGGTGATGGCGTGTCTGATAAACAGCACATAACCTCCTCCTTGAAGGGGATAGTCGTAAAACGGGATGAAGCCCTGAAACTCTTATCTGGTAGATATTTCCCTGGGATGTGCCAAGTACACAGGCTATCCATGCTTGTGGAGAAAAGTATTATATACATGGCATCTTAAAAGCAGGGATGATGCTACCATGCATCCAGATGACTGTCTTTGTTTTTGTTTATCTTGTTTAAACCAGTGAGTGCATAAAGAACTCATTATCTAAACTATGAAAAATACAATGGCTTGTTTTATAAAAAGTGCGCTTCTGGGGAAAAGTTGAGGTTTGGCTCACAGTAAACATCACATGACCATATTATTAATTGGTATTCAGGTCCCCCAGTAATGATCAGTAAGCCAGATTCTTTCATCCCCCCTCTCTTTTGAATAGTGAATCCATTATTTTATAAATACTACTTTAAGACAAGGTTGTTGTTTTCTTTTGTGCTTTAAGAGAAGAAAATGTTGCACATAATTGTTTTTATTTGTACCTATGCAGTTTAAGCCTTTAGGAAGGTTAGTATTTGTGCTGTATAGTAGATTTTCTGTATGCATGTTTGATTTTGTTAAATAATTCCTTTCCCTTGATCTTGACACTTCGAGGTTTGTTGCTTATCAAGGCCGGTATTATTTGTGTTTTTTGACCGCAATATTTCTGGTTAAAAGCTTGTGGAATAAGGATACTTTGCTAGCATTAATTTTATAATTTGGAATAAATTGGCCCTTGCATCATCCACAGGAAAGTTGTTCTGCAGAGAAGTAATTTAACTAATTTATAGGTACTCATTTCATTAAGGTTTATCTGAGGAGCTTTACTTGAATTATACCTCTTAAGTTGGGAACTTTATTCATATTCCATACATAAGACAGAGTGTAGAAAAGGAACCTCTGGATCTAACTGATAACAGTAATAATGTTAGTACCATGTTGTCTGTATTTTTAAGCAGGCAATACTTCTGTGAAGTTGCTACTTGTTATGCAGAGAAAAGTGTTTCCAAGGCCCCTTAAATTGAAAAGCAGATCCATATGCACATTATCTCTCCCTCGTTATGTCACTTGCATTTCCATAAGGCTTGCATCATATGTATTTGCTAGGGGAACATTTACATTAATATTCATTGAGTTCTGTAATATTGGTAAGTAGAAATAAAATATCCAAAATAATGCAAACCAGAATATTTTTCAGATTTCCTTTTTGCATGTGAAAACTTGCGAACACAATGCATTTCAGACACTTAGTTTTTCCATGGGTTGTGTTTATTTCCATCCATACAGAGTGAGAGACTTTCAACGTACATGTTGCTCCTTTTCCACTGGACTAAGACCTTTATTCATTTGAAATTCAGCCTGTTAGAAATATCCTTATAAGCAACAAACCTTGAATCGGGGCAGATGTAGACATTCCTGTTCTGTATTCAGTGAAGTTTTAATTAAATTAATTGCCCTTTTTATAGGTGGCATACAGATAAATTGAAATTACTAGAAATCTGAATTGCTAATTTTGTAGGCATTGGGAGAAATGTCACAAGTAATTGAAACTTGTTCATTGATAGTTCAGACTTTCTTAAACATTTTGAAATACATAAGTAATGGGAAACCTTCAGGGAGTTAAATAAATTGGCAAAGGACCACACAACCTCTTCCAAATCATTTTTAGTTTGTAGATATATCTTTTGTAAGAACAAAACAAGCAAACATGGAATCTTGCACTGTCAGAAGGCATAGCCTGTTGGGAAGTTTCAGCATAGGTTCCATTGCTGTGTTCTTGCACTGCTGTGATTCATTTCTTGGGACTAACGCAGAAAGACTCCCTTATTGACTGTGCCTCTGTATCAAGGTAGTTTTATGTCCTGTGAAATTATTAAAGCAAACTATATTTATGACACACTCCCCTTCCCTGTCAACAGTTGAACTTGCATTAGTAGCTTGAATATTATTTAGTCTTCCCCTATGTTCTTCCTTTCTGTTGGAATGTTTTGTGGTTTCATTTTAACATACCTTGACTGAATAGAAGAACTTTAGACTTCTGTGTAAAACGGGGTGGGAGATTTGTAATAGGAGGCCAAAGATCTGAGGGAGAAAGATCCCTTTAGGACAGAAATTGTGTAACATTAGTTATTTGTGTGGGAATAGCTTGTGTTCAAGACTTACCTTCGCTGTGACAATCATTATCATCTGAGAATCAAGTTGCAACTATATTTATGTTGAACCATTAAACATTGCTGAAATGTCTTCCTAACCAATTAGTTGGAATAATGTTACACACAACTTCATTGTTGGATGTAAAATATCATCATTTTGGCGGTTTGGATGGTGGCTAGAAACTTCAGCACTGTGTAGACAAGTCTTTTGTTCTCTTGCTACTTTATAGAAAGTTTCCATTTTAGAAGGATGGTATTTGTGGCCTTGCTACTTTTTAAAATAACGTTTTAAAACTGACTTGGTTGAAAAGAGAAAGGCAAATTAGTGGCAGTGGATCTAATGGTGTTAGATGGCTGATATTAAATGAAAAATACTGTTACATTGCTCAAAATAGTTACTGGCATATGACTAGGACTAATGATTTCACATTTGGGATGACTGAAGAAGACAGTGTCTCTATTGGGACCTGTTCATGAGCACGAGAGCATACAACTCTTAAGTATTAAAAGAGCAGATCTTCCAATGATGTGATCAGTGTGTCCTGAGATATATTGAATGTTGTGATTGATTTGAAATTCCATTATATTATCACCATGTTCACTGTTTAGAACAGGGGGAATTGAAGATTACAGTTGCATAGTTTTAAGCTATAGCAACAAAAATAGATTATTTCTGATGTCTTAATCTTAGACGTTTGTAATGAATAAGCAAAATTAGGGTCAAAATGTAGACAACTTAATGTGTTTCTGTCTAAAATAGGTATTTTATAAATTGACCGCTTGGGTCAAAGGAATTTGGGATACATCTTTCCAGCATCTTCCTTACTCAAGGGCTTCTCTCAGCAGCAGGGCTTGTTGTAACATCTCAGGCTTTACACATACTGCATTATCTCATATTATTGGCGCCATGATGGACACTATGGCTTTGCAGAATGTCTGTTTTTGATAACAATTTTTTTAAAAAAATCAGTACTACACGTAATTAAGAATTGGATAACTAGGAACTTAGTATTGCTGCTATATGGAGATTGATTGACCTAAGGGCTGGAACTTTAAATTTGTTTTACAGTACAAACTGACAGGTCAGTTTATTGATAACATTGTTGATTTCAAAATGTTAAGTTCTGTTGATTGGTTGCAAATACACATTCAGTTAGATTTTTTGGAAACAGATTGTGTAGTGAATATGCTGAGATACAAAATACATTAATTACTTCCAGGTAGTGTACAGAATTGTTTCACACGTGTATATACATCTTTTCCTCTCCTAGAAAGAAAATCACACTAGGTAAAGAACTTTTTGTAAGCTGGCACTGAAACATTTTATGTTTGGTTGCACCGTGTTTGAAGCTTTTTACAGTGCAATACGTGTATTATTCTCTCAATTTAAACCAAAGGTAATTTTTTTTCATGCTTTCTATCTACTGTAGTGCATGAAGAGCTTTTTGTACGTTTGTGATAGTTGTAAAATCAGAACAAATCACATGTCTTGGGATTTTTTTTTATTTACCTGAACTATATACAAGCCTTTGTTGAAAATGTAAGGTGTTAAACTAAATTGCATATTAACCCTTGAGTGTATTTCCTTAAGCATAGTTATAAGTCAATAAACTTTATTAAGGAATGTGTGGAGCTTAATTTGTCTATTACTTCATATTTTTTTAAAAAAACTGAAGTAGTTGGGCATTATTTCTTTTGCAGAAAATTTGGTACCACAAGCAGAAAGGCAGAAAGAACATGAAAAGAATAGGGATAGGGATTTTGTACACTACAAAAAGGAGCAGTTTACTATGGTTCATAATTTTTTAAAATCTAAACCAACAATATACATTTTGACCTTCTAGAGATTTTTGCATCCAGGGATGTTTTTCTTCTTTTACCAGCTCAAACTACAATTTCCATTTCAGTGGTCATATTTATTGGTCTGTGCTTCTTCAACTTACTGGGATAGCTGGTGATAGAGGTATATCTGTTTTTCCTATTATTCGTTTTGCTGTTCATGCCTGCTAAGCAACATATCCCTGAAGCCATTGCTTTGCCCTGCCCATTACAGACAAGCACACACAGCTACAGCAGGATTGGCTAAACAGTCTTGTCTTTCACAGTTTTTGTTACATTGGTTTTAGTGCAGAGGTGAAGCTGCAACCCAATACAGAAAGTTTGCGTTTCTCCAGCCTGTCTTATGTCTTCCCAGCACCAATGCTAAAACAAAACTTTCAGCTAGGTAGAAGGCAATCTGTGTCTTTTAACCATCTAGTCCAGAAAACGCACAGCAACCCAGTGATTCTGGCCATGAAAGCTTTAACAACACATTGCCACTATTACTTTTTGAATGTTGAATATACCAGACTAATACTGTGAAACTGACAGGAGGCTTCCGCTAAACACTATGCCCAGAGCTTGGAATGTAGTTATAATGATAAACATTCAAAATTCAATATAGGTAGTTCAAGTTCTGTCTGAAGGGGAAAAAATTGCATACATAGTGCTGTGGAATAATTTGTGTAAGAATTCAAGGTAGCTCCTTAACCTTTTCTGTGGTTTTACTAGCCACAGAAAATATTAAGGAGCTACCTTGAATTCTTACACAGCAATTCCTCTGCCTTATAATGTCTGCCCAGACAATCACACAATGCTTTCAAGTATATCTCTGTCTTCATAGAGACCAGACAGTTTTAATTAAATGAAAGACTAAAATGTGCTGACATTCTGTGCACCTGTGAAATCAGAGTATACACAGAGTCCTGCTGTAGTTTAAAAACTTTCCAGTGTGCAATGTTGAATGCTGGATGATCAGAGGGCACTCACTCAGCCCAGTTCCTGCCTTGTCAGGCAAAAACACACATTTGTCAGCAGAAAGACTGATTTATTTGTCTAATGTGAATAAATACGCATGTCAACAAGATTGCATGCCCTCTCCAGTGACCCTCGCTGCTAAGAAGCTAGTTCTGAGCCATGTAGAAATGCATGATTCACATTTTCTGCCCCATGTATTTCAAAACAGTTCATAAAGTGAGTTGACTGTTAGTTCTTAGTATCATCAGTATGTGCAATGAACTATCTAAACCAACTTGAAAGACAATGATAGGCCTAACCTTTTGGTTAAATTATGTTTCATCTTGTATTGCTAAACAGCACCTTTCTGCATTTTTTGAAAACCACATGGGCATAAGATTGTGAGTGAACAGCCCCAAAATTGTCAGTCATAATTGATGGGTCAAATGGTTCATACATCTGCAGGCAGAACATCCAGTCAGTCCACACACACCAACACTCCCAATGAAAGATTAGTAACACCCATATAAAAAGTAATACAAGAAAGACATTCTCTCACAAAACCAGGCCAGAAAAAGTTATGTACCACACTAAAAATAATTTATCCCCCCCCCCCCCAAATACAAGAAGCACCCATTATTTTTAGTGTCCAATAAAATAAAATTGTATTGATTTCTGCATGTCTTAAGAAGTACTGTACTCTTAATGTTCTGCATATGCTGGAGGGGTGACAGTGATAACCCGTTCCCAGACAAAATTCATCCACCTAAACTAAATAAACCGATTTCAAAAGGATTCTATGAGGATCTGTGAAAAACTGCAAGACAAGTGCAGAGAGCAATGTTAGGAGAATGAAACACAAAACAGCATGTTTAGTTTTTCAATGACTTTTATAAATGTACATCTCAATATATTTTACAAAGCATTTTTAAAATTGAAAGTCTAAAACACTATACTAGGTTAAATGTTACATGGAGAACGCCTTCTATAATGTCTTACTTTTTAGATTTTTTCCCTTGATTTATATTTACTTTTAAATTCCTAACAAGGGGTGGTGGTTTTTTAGACTTATAGGCTGGACTTCCTTTCAGACGGGGCCCTTTGATATTAACGACGTATGGCAGCAGAGGTGGTTTACGTATTGTCAGCTCTGTCCCTTTAGGAGTATAGCATCGCAGATGGATTTTGCTGTTTGAATGAGCTGTCACTGCAATCCAACCTGTGCAGAGAAAACACTAAATTAAAAAACGAAATTAAAGCAGAACACTGGACTACTATATCTGTTTGGCGCAGGGTCATATCAAATTAATTTCCTACTTCACTTTTAAAACAAGACAAAAACCTTCATGAAATGCTTCTCTTTAGTGCTTACACAGGTCTTTCTATATACATTTGTATATAGGTTAAAACAGGATGAGAAAGACTTTTGAGAAGATTTTTCAAAACTTACCAGCAGTTGAAAGCTTTATATCGGCCACTGCCTGAGCTTCGTCAATTCCTTCCAATGTCACATCCTGGGAGATCAATGGTGGGAAATCTTTCATCCGTTCTTCGCCTCCCATAGGAACCTTGAGTTAAAAGATTTAAGAAGTCTAAAAAATTAAGACTGCCCTCTTTCCCCAGAAGGACTCAGGGTGGGTTACATGTAAAAAGGCAAACATTCAATATAGTATCTGAAATTATATTCTAAATTATATTCTACATGTTTACCACTCTTTGAACTGCTGGCAAAACAAGGGCTGACAACCTCATGATGTTTAGCCAAATTCATAATTCACCAGACAAGAGCCCCAAATCAACGGAACCCCTCCCCCCTACTATGGAAAAAGCTAATATCATTGTGTAATTACAGTAGTTTATAGTATAGTATAGATAGTAAAGTTGTGACATTTAAGTGGAACTACTGGATGATGTTGGGACTACACTAGTGGTTCTCAACCTGTGGGGCCCCAAATATTTTGGCCTTCAACTCCCAGAAATGCTAACAGCTGGTAAACTGGCTGGGATTTCTAGGAGTTGTAGGCCAAAACACCTGGGGGCCCAAAGGTTGAGAACCACTGGCCTACTCCTTACTGCTTAGTTTCTCAGATGTTTTCAGCCTAATATATATTATGAAGTATGCACTTTATGCAAAGTTGGTACACATGAACAAACATACATTTAAATCTATTGTGTATCTTGGCCCTTTGTAAAGCAGTGTTTTACGCAGAAAGGCCATTTCTTAATGTAGCTCAATTTGCACCAACACTGAGAGTAAACTCATCCATTCAACAACCATCAGAGGTGGGAAAGAAACAAAACAATGTCAACAATTATTTCTTTCTTGCATAAAGTGCAAGACCACCAAGACAGGGATAACTTGTTCAAGACAATGAAGCCATGGTGTTGGTTAAGAGTGGAACAAAGCACGTCTTGTGCCAAGACCAAGAGAGACAATAATGAATGTCGGTGGAATAAGAGAAATCACAAGGCAATTCATTTTCATAGATTTTCCAGCAGTATACAGTCAGTGCTGGCTTACCTTCAGCAATGTTTGACCTGCATGTTTTTGATAGAGAGCATCTGCTTTTTCTACTGTAGTGAAGTGCACAGGCAATAAATTTGAGGCTACAACAGAAAACCAGGAGGGGCTGTCCCCCTATGGCATAATAAAGAGAAAGTTAATTGTAATGGGTTCTGCATGTAAAAACAGCCTCAGTAACAAATTTAAAATCAGTTCAGCTACCAAACTTTCTATAATTGACAGCGTCTTACTTTTTTAAAGCTGGTATTTTAATGTACCAAATTGGCCAAGATTCCTATTGTTTTAAGCATTCCTAGATCAGGTTATTTTTAAAAAGGACACGGGCCTTTCAAAGAGAATACCTTGAGATTTATATAAAATGGAGAAGGGTATCTTCACATGCAACAGCAAAGTCTGTTTGGCTGTTATGTGTTTTCCCTAAAGTCATATCCATCTTCCTGTTCTCATATCCCAACCCATTTTTTTATTTTACAGCATAGCATAATTTCCTAATACAACCAAGCCTGGTAATCCATGGTTTGCCACAAAAGATTAAATCATGATGGAAATCAAGAGTTTGCAAGGAAATGCACATGCTGGAGATGTCTTCCTACAGTGCCTAAGCATGGTTTTCTATCACATTTGAAGCAAAACTATATGATCTTTCTTTACTACTTTGCAATTTATTTATTTATTTCAGAAGTGAATTGGGAATACAGTTATAATTTATAGAAAAACCACAACTTTGCAATAACCTATTCTTCTTCATCAGCTGGCCCTACAGCTTGAAATAAGAGACCTGCCTCCCCCAAAACGGTACCCCTGCTTTGTAATATTGTAGTATTTGCTTGTATGCTGCATTAAACTGTTGCCGAGTGTGAGCCATCCTTAGTCCCCCCCCTCAGGGGTTGAGAAGGACAGGGTAGAAATGCTGGAAATAAAAAAAGAAATACCCCCAAAATACTCTTCCAAGGATTGGAGAATCTACTGAATTAGGTACATGTTAACACCCCTTAACAACGTGAAAAACAGTGTGGGAGGGGGGACTGGCACTGAGGGCAGGTTGGGAAGGAAAAGAAAGGTTCCCAGGCTCATCTCTTAGTATTGTGTGAAGCTTCTGTATCCCATCCAGACTTTCATCAAAAAAACTCTTTGATATGGAAATAAGCTTCCTTATTAGTCAACTGGATAACTGAAACCAAGCATGCCATATTATTGCAGTTCTTCTTGCCACTGCTCTCAAGCCATAGGGTACATGTTGGAAGCTGTTCATCTACTGACAGCAAACTTGATTCATTTTTGAGATTTGAGTAATCCTACAAGAGATATAACAGAACATTGGATCTTTGTTTCTATGCATGGATCATACGACTATTATTTGCCTTTTAAAAAACCCTGTCTGGAATATACCTCAGCAGATAGAAATGCACCCAGGCCATGCAACAGCATACTGTAATATGTGATGAATAAGAATTTGCTAAGACATTTGGAGTAGTCCCCCCACCATATCTCTTACCTGTAAATAATCTATTCGACCCAATGCACCCAGAAACAGGGTCATTCCAGGCTTAAGAAGAAATGTTCTTGGAATAATTGCACATGTTGGCAAGACATGTTTGACTTCTTTTTCATTCAGAAGGTTTAAAACCTAAAAGCAAACCAGAAAACCTAATTCAAATTAAATTTTCAGTTTTAAAAAAGAGCAGACAGATAACTCGCGCTTTCATGACTACTGTATATGACAGTTGAAAATTCTTCATACATTGCTTGGAAATAATAGTAAATGTTCCTTATACTACAAAAAGAAAAGCTTTACGTGTTTCGACAATTTTTTATTCAAAGCTAACAATGTGCACATCTGACATGAGACAACCTTATCAAGTAAATAGAAATATTTTGAACATCCTACAGAATACTTAAATATTACATCTCTAATGTATGCTGAGATGACTTTCTCTTTCACTATGCCCTACTCTTCATATGATTTCTATTTTGATTAACATACTGGGGGTCAGGAAGCTAATATGACAACCCTATCTGCTCTCCCCTTTTCTCTCTGTCTCACTATGGATAAATAGTCTGTAAGGGAATCTGGAAGCAATTGTTGTCTACCTTGCCTTTTGTAGAGTCACATGAAACGGGATCAACTGGAGCAGAATCTCATTCTTTGTCAGCTCAAGCTTTATTACATTGTTTACTGCAGCCTGACTCTGAAAATCTATGTTTCTCCAGTCCTGCTTCACCATTCTCTCATTGCCAAGGCTGATAAATTCTTCCAGCTATATGGAGAACAAGGAGGAAAGGGGAGCTGAACAGCCATAAGAAGACTTTGTAAAAAGGAGCTTTTATGTCAGAGGATTTGTTAACTAAGGCATGTCAGTACAAGAAAGACTTCTTAGGCCACTAATGGCAAAAGAATATCGGTTCTATAAAGGCCATTTAGTTGAAAGCACATCCAACTTGTTAAAACTGTCAGAAATATTAAAAATTAATTAGGTATTTTAATAGCAAAAATGTGAGTCAAACACTGAAAGGGTTAAATGGATGCAATGACTCAGCAAAAAGCTTAAGTTCAATATAAGCAGGTGTGCCTATAGCTTAGTTGCCCTCAATGTAAGAGATGCCTCAGTATGAGGTAGGCCTCAATGTTAGTAGGCCTGGTGTGAGAAGCTTTGGTGAGAGAAAGCCCCAGGTTGAAAGCCATCCTGTGTGAAGGCTGCTGTGTGTAGCTCCTGTGTAAGGCTGGTGTGAGAAGAGGCTCTGTGAGAGCAAAGGTGTTATCTGAATGAGAAAGAAGCCCAGCATGGAAGCAAAGGAGGAAGTATAAAGAACATTATTTGTGTTATGGAAATCTTGCTCTTGTAAATAGTTGCTATAAAGAAAGGTTTCCTAAGGAATATATAACATTGGTCTGTGTGTTTTGTTCTTTTTTTTCACTGTGGGCTACTGGTGCTGGGTCATGCTGCTGCTAATAAGTTACTCTGCTGTGCATTTATTAGGAGGATCTTTTGTTAATAAGCCTACTCGTTCAACAAGCTAAATGTTGATAACAATGACCTTGATTTGAAAGAGAGACACTTATCAATACGAAGGTGATCCCTCCTCCCCCCTGCCCCACCCCCCAACTGCTAGCATGAATAACTTTTACAGGTTGGCAAGGGTAACTTACCCTGGGATCATAGAGGTCTGTGTTTTCGCCACTCTACTCTATAGACTTGTAAACAGCAAAGTAATTTCTAAACATCTCCCTTTTAAATGAAGTGCAGGGTAATTCATTGGGTCCAAGAATTATGTTTCATAAAGAACAGCTCTCCAATACGACATTTCAAAGTCATGAGATTTCAGGAAGCTTATCTTGGTATGAGAATCTTCTTTTTTTTTAAAGAGCAAACAGACTAAACCATTTAGTTATGAGGCCAATTCTTTGAAAATCAATTTGCATTTCTGTCCCAGATTTCCATGGAGGAGCTCAGACTTTTTTTTAGCTTAGTCATTCTGATAGATAAGTTGAAACAGAGAGACCATTACTGCCCAAGGCCACCCATTGAGCTTCCTGGCTAAGCAGGAATTAATGAGGCATGTTTGACTCTAGGAATAGCTATAAAGGGCTGGGGACGATAGATCAGAGGGGGAAAAAAACACTGGTTCCCTTCCATAAGCACACACAGTTTTTTTTGGATTGTGGCCAATATGTCCAAAACTGCATGACAATTTTCATCAAAGCTTAGTATCAAGTGAAGGCTCAGAAATGTTAAGTTTTTTTTTCCTGAATACTTGTAATTTCAGTCTTGAGATAGTGGTGACTTTTGGAATGGGAACATTAAAAATTTAATTATAGGGTGAAAAAAATGTTCTTCATAGAACTTACCAGAGTACTGCTTGAAGGAGTGCTTCCCACACTCCACAGAGTGACCAGTTGCTGGCATCGACACTACACTAACCAGAAGAATCTGCTGATGCCTGCACTCATAGCAACATGGGAAAGCCAAAAAATGGGAAGGCTTTTCTTGCCCTCTTTGAGAACAGAGATATTTTGGGGTAAAATATACACATGCTGAAGACAGTTTGTTAACCTACTGCAACAATTCATTTGAACATGGTCTTAAACAAGAGAGACCAAATTGAAAAGTCCTAAAATTCATGCTAAAGTGAACCATCTTGAGAATCATGTCCACCCGCTCTGTTCCAGCCTCCACAGCTCTTCCTAGAGCCAACTGTTCCACATTATTACTGATTAGCTAAGAAGCACAAAACGTGGCAAGACCAAAAATCTATTCCAAAGAATTAGAAGATAAGCCTGGCCATTGAAATGGCAAATGTGACTTAATAAAAGCCGAAAGTGGGAAAACGGTAACACATGGGTTGTTTGCAGCCCCTGAAGGCTCCAACTGCCCACAATCCTAAAATATTTTGGATTAAATTTTGTTGGGCGAGTGGGCTTATTAACAAAAGATCCTCCTCATAAATGTACAGCAGAGTAACTTATCAGCAGTAGCGTGACCCAGCACTAGTAGCCCAAAGTGATTAAAAAGAACAAAAACAAACAGACCAAAGTTATCTCCTCCTTAGGAGGCTTTTCTCTGAGGTAAAATAATATGGTTGTACTATTTACAAGAACAAGGTTTCTATAGCACAAATAAACAAATACATAGTATACTTGCTCACAGAAGCCTTCACACTGGAGCTTTCTCACACGAGGCTTCTCTCACATAGAGGTTTACCTCACACTCCTCAGGACAACACTAGCTTTGGCCCAAACTCTTTCAATGCTTGACTCACACTTCTGTCATAAAAAAATACCCAGTTAATTTTTAATATTTCTGACAAATTTCTACATCTATATTGGCTGAAAGCAGCTGGAAAACACAATGGTTGTGCTCCTAAATTCTCCCCAAGACCCCTCCCACATCTTAAATCCTCCCCCAAACTTTGAAAAAATCAGCCAAAAATTAGTTGAAATGATGCTGGAAGAGGTATGATGTCATTTCTGGACATTTATGGTCATTCAAGGACTATTCTTACTCACATGAAGGTTTTGTTTCATACTTCAAGAGAAGAACCAATTGTTTATACACTTGAAAATTTACCGTAACTCTCCAATATTTCATAGTTAATTTTATTCCACAACCATAATCACATTTTTAAGGGGAAAGGATCAAAACACATTTGGCAGAAATTCTGTCTTTTTAAACAGACAGAATACTGCTAGAAGCATGATGTATGTATTCTGAAATGCAATTTCGCTTCCCATCCCTCTTTTAATTAACACACATTCCGAATTTAATCAAATACCAACAAAGTTATTGAAAATGATTAAAAAAACTTCACCCATGCTACACATCTGCTTGACTCCTGACCCTTTCTGAATGCTCCATGCCTGTGTAGTCAATAGCAACTCTCCACAAAGAGTTCAAAGCCAAAAATTTGTTTCATAGAAAACAGTAAGCAACACTCAATTAACCAATATTAGATCTAACAAAAAGCTGTGTGAAACCTGCTCAGTTTTATGAAATTTCTTAAATGTGGGCAGCAGCAAACTACTTGCCCTAACAAGTAGTTCATTAACCATTTAATTAAAAATTCATTCAGTTATTTCACTGAAATCTTTGACCTTATAATAACCCCCCGCCCCCAAGCCACAGTCCACAGAGCACCATTATGTCTGCTCTCCTCTATTTAACATATACCAGGACTAAATACCACAATTCACTTAAAATGAGTGATAGGATTAATTTTACATTTTCATGAAAATACCTAGCAACAGAATTTTAAAAAACAAATTATGAAACAGAATCGTTTTTAAAAACTATCCCATCTTCAAAATTTTGGGTTCCAAATAAAGTTAAGAAATAATAAAATTTACAATGGAAAAAATGACAAATGAAATAACAATACTGTTAGAATGGCATGATTGGTACTGTGATTATTTTGTTACTTTATAGTTAGCAGCTCTGAATTGCTGAATGGAAAACTGAATATAAAATAAAGAAAACAAAGAAAAATATGAACAAAGTAAGTTTTTCATCCTTTGGATAAACTTCTTTTTCAAATGAACTAAAACACTGAAATAATGTTGATCTACAGAAGAACTGTCTACTGCGCTCCATGGGTGCCAATCAGAATAAATATTATCTTAGAAATGTTTCACAAGACATGAGACAAAAGGTAAGTGGAAGTCTGGAATCTCAAAGAAAACAGTATTGGCAAACTATAGACAATAATGCAATCAGAGGCAACATTCATGGCAGACAGCCTTAGTTGCCATAGGCAACTGCTTCTTTCCTATGTAGTGTCCATTGTTTTTAGGAACAAATAATTTGGTTTTAAAACTCTAATGTATTAATTCCCAGGTTTTGAGAGGACGAATGCCAAGATTTTGGTGTGTTTTCTTAAAGGTGTGTATTAACACACTTTGTTTATAATGCTGAAGCTACATGTTTAGTGCTTCCTTGTATGGCAGTGATATAAAAACTTTTCTGGAAAATTAAACACTGGAAGCTTTTTCAATGCCTTAAATTGAAAAAGAGTTCAATTTTAAAGATTAGTAAACCAATCTTTCAAAAATATGCCAAATTAATTTTATTTCTTGTATAATTGATAGCTGATTGATGTCTAAAAAGTTATATGCAAATAAATTAATAGCTTAAC